TGTATAAAGTCAAGTACATACACATCTGCATTTCCAGATGCTTTGTGCTTGCCGCCCTGCTCAATCTCGATGCGCCATTGCGGGAATTGTGCTGCAGCCTGAGCGGCAGCCTGTCTTGCAAGCTCAATACTATTCACTATGATTAACGAACGTGATGTGGATGGAGAACGAGACGGTGGAGAAATCTGCGCCAATAAGGATATGAACACAGTTGTTTTACCAGCCCCTGTTGGCAGAGATACGCCAATGCGCGTCACACCAGCCTGAAGCGCATTCTTGCATGCTTCAAGACAGGACTCTTGATAGGGTCGCAGCTTGACCGTGGCAGCACTGGCAAAATAACGCCGAGGCTTGAACATACAAAATTAATAGTTCGGGGCATCTGTTCACTTAAGCTTTAAACCAGTAGATCACGTGAAGAGACGGGCGCAATGCTGACTAAATCTTGCCTCAAACAATGTTGGTCGTGAATGTCTTCTGCATTCGGTATGAGCTAAGGCCTACTAGTGTGGGAGTATGTAGAAGAATCCATACTCGGAGGAACTCAGTGAGATAAAGTCTATCGAAATAAATCGTAATGCGTGTACTAAAAGAAGGGATGGAGCCAATGCCCAGGTAAATATGCGATGCAAGGCGTTTAACCAGATCCACCAGAGTAGACCTTGCCGAACATGACTTGCTGGAGCTTGTCGTATAGCGAAAGCACACCAGCACCGGCAACACCACGGAGAATGTTGGCACCTGCACCCTTGAACAATGACTTCATACCCTCCTTGGCAACGATCTGGGAACCGGCATCGAACATGGACTTGTAGTGAACGCCAGCACCGGAGGTCATCATCATACGACGACTGGAGATGATGAGCACGTCGTTCGATTTGAGGTTACAGGATAAAACTCACCGGATAGTGTCGAGAGGATAAGAAGCAAGACCAGCACCAATAGTCACACCCCAACCAAGCGCGAAGGAAGCCAAGAACGAGCCCTCAAGAGCACCAACGAGAACAACGGGCTCTGTAACCACAATTAGTGACATGATCAAGAATTGCTTCAATCAACTCACTAAGCGAATCGTATACACCAAAGTAAAGACCACGGTACACAATGATACCGACGACTGAAGGAACGAAACCGCGGTAGAGACCGGCGATACCGTCAGAAGCGAGGGTCTTCTTGTACACGTCAACAAGACCGTTGAACTGACGAGCTCCTCCACCCTTGGCCGACTTAGCATCATTGGCAAGACGAGTACGAGCGTAGTCAAGGGAGTAGACAAAGAGCAGTGATGAAGCACCAGCGGCACCACCAGATGCAACATTGCCAGCGAACCACTTCCAGTAACCCTCATTCTTCTTGAAGCCGAACAGAGACTTGAAGTAATCCTCTGAAATTTATGTCAGGTATGAATCATACAAGAGTATGACTGAAAACGTACTGAATGCGAAGTTCAAGGCCTGCGTGGGGAAGTAACGAATCACGTTGGCAGTGTTACCTCTCCAAAGTGAGACAAGGCCTTCTTCCTTGTAGGTGCGACCAAACGCATCGCTGATGCCCTTGTAGGGAGTAGCTAGACGCCCCTGCTTGATCTGGGAGACAACATGTAAGACACTTGCGCATTGGTTATGGAATAGAGAACGTGCCATCTCATCCTGATTTTGTACCAAGAGCTTAATGCGCTCAATTGGAGCTGCCGACGTCTTGGCAACGGCCTATAAAACACAATGTCAACGTCGACAACTTGACCGCATAGTAGTATTGACACGTACAGCAGAAACACCACCCATCAGGAAATCCACTGTTAGACACTGTATTAGCGCTCCATACGCGACAGAATGCGAGCTGCATGGCAAGCAACGACGACGAGCAACTCACCCATGAAATCCTGGGGAGTCTTGACCCTCTTGGTTTCGGCCATTTTTTAATTAGAAAAGCCAACAAGGAAAGGCTGGTAAAGAAGGATGGAGGGGAAGGATGAGAGCTAAGCAGGGAAAAAAGTTCGCGTCAAAAAGGAATTCGGAATCATCCGGAAGGTTTTATCTCCGCTCTTCACCGATTGAACAGCATCGTGTTTAGGTACGTTCCGGGTGTAGCCTCTGTTCCGTTGCTAATATTCTGATATTCATATAGTTGAATACGTAAATAGAGATGATTGCATAACGCTATCTCTGCGAAAAACAACATTATTATAGCTAACCGAACCTCAAACAGACAAATAGTAGCGGAATAAACTGTCCCTGCAATGCGAAATTAATATTAAGGCCACACGCCTGGTCGGCTCGTAGAACCACTAGCTCTGGGCGGATAATAACTGTTGGGATTGTACGTATCATATGGACTACGCACGGTGTCATGAGGAGAAGTAGTTGTCGCAGGTGGCACGTATAAGCTTGAGTTAGAGTAACGTACTGGAGGTAATTGAGGGACAGCGTAATTGCTTGGCCCAGTAGGATACGATGTCACGGGTGACCGAGGCGTACTCATAGGTATGACATTAGCAACTGGCGACACGGGAGGAAGATGCACCGCGTGAGATATTTGAGGCTGTGGCGGCGGCTGTGGTTGCTGAGTTGCTGGAACGGAATCAACCCGAGATTTTTTCCAGATCTGCTCTGTGGGCGAGGGTGCACCAGAAAGTGCCTTGCGCTTCTCCAGAGAACTCCGCGCCATGGGTGGTGGCTGAGGCTCATCTTCGTCGGAATCAGCTGTTAGGTCGATGACATCACCGCCCCTGGGTTGCCGGGCAGTTGTCGGAAGACCTGCATTGGAGGTGGGGCTGGAAAAGGTGTTCATCGGGTAGGAATCCGATAACTCCTGCTTGACTCTGCCCTCATCCTCGTCATCAGAGTCCAGTACAAGAATCTCCACATTTTTCCTCGCATGGGCTTTCGCGGCAGCCTCTTCATCAACTGATGCTGGCGATGATTCACGAGGAGAAGGGGATAACCTGAAGGGAACTGTCCCTGGATTCGAGGCCAGCCAGGATGCTGAGCCAAACTTATTGTCACTTGTATGCCACTGCCCATCGCTTTCGACAATAACATCTTCAACATCCTCAGAAGTATCCTTCAGAATCTGGTCGAAATACCTATTGACATATACATTAATCAACCGACGATTCAGCAACACGAAAAGAACGGACCCATCGATGATGAGATCTTCAAAATTTAGAGCCTTCTCACATACAGGACACAGCCACGTTGTCGTTTGCTCCATGCAGCTGAACCACGAGTTTGCATCAAAGCACTGCGGATGAGGGCATAGTATTGATCTGCACGGCGTTTTCACTCGCATGAAGCTCAGCTAGACCATTTTACGATGAGAAAAAGTCAAGCAGGTGGAGGACGTCCATACTGGGCATTTTAAAGACATCTTTTGTGACCCGGCGATAATATCGTCATCTTCGCTTGAGGTTTTATTCACTGCAAGAAATATTATTTAACAAATAATTTGCTCAATAAACAAACGGTTTACTTTGTGCCACAATATCTTCATGATTGCGATACTTGCCCTTCTTAAGCTTGTCCACGAGCTGATCTACAGTTGTGGCTTCAACAAGCATGACGATCAGATAGAATTTCTGCTGGCGATACTAAGACAAATTGTGTGTAGATGACAGGTCCACCAACCTTGGGCTGTATGGGCTGCTGACTGTTCACGTATACCATTTCGACCCGGTTTTGACCAGTCGTTCTAACGGGCCTCCCAAGGTCTGCTGGCGGAGCAGTACCAGGCTTCTTCTTCAAACCTTTCAGGTTCGCCGTCAGCTGCACACCATTGACTCGCACTTCACACGTGGGAGGAAATTCGATCGGACAAAGTGCTGTGGTGGGCCTGAATCCTGAGGAATAAAACGTGTTTGAGGTACAGTATAATCGAAGCTGGAACTTGGCACTAGAATGGTGTGTCAAGCTCGCGACATCTAATTCAATGACAGAAACATACGTCGTCGAGTTCAACTTCATCGATTGCTCGCTGGTGAGAGTGAAAGTCAAGGTTTGCTGTTTTCGATCAGTCGAGCTTGTGGATTCTAAAAAATTGTCAAACAGGACCCAATTAATGAAAAGTAAGTATGTACTCGCCAGGACACTCGACAATGCCAGAGACAGCTTGATCTACACGAAAGAATGGGGACGGCTTGAAGCGCATACCTGCGGTATGTGTGGGTGATAATGAACTAGGTAGTGTACCCACTTATCTTACCTGGTTTAGACACAGCCGACGGACCAGCGCCTGTGGTTGGTGGCGGGGGTAGCCGCGGAGGGGCGTAGGGATCATAGCGGCCAGCGGGGATCGCGTTGAAAGTGCTACGAGCTGTATTTGAAGCTGAACTATATGCTGCCGATGGAACCGAAGGCAATGACTGGGATGCCATCGCTCCTGGCATACGAGAGCTCGTGTACCTGGTGGTCAAGCGCGCGGTCAGTGCTGTGTACGGAGTAAAGGATGCTACCACACATGAATGCTGTAGCTAATGGAAGCAGCCCATAAATGCGGCGCATGAGAAATTCCACGCACGCGAACCGAGTCAGCTGCATGAAATGGCACTCACATTCCGGTATTGCGAACCTGGAATAATATAACTTTCGCTTTGGTCCATTTGTCGATGTTGTTGGCTTGACGCCAGGATTCCAACTGCTGTACGATCCTCTCTATCAGGTCCTGCTTCTTTCCAGACTTGTGAAATACAGTGTTGCATTCCTCATTGAAACCGGTAAGAATTTGTTTGAGTTTATCCACCGTATTGTGCTTGACCGTGTGTCGTAAATTCTAGAGTAATGATTTAGTAGCATATGATATAAGATTTACAACCCAGACCTCAAAATCGCTCCAAGAGTCAGTGGTGGCCATTGATGTCTCCGCTGGAAGCCACAGTGAGCAAAAGCTTTCAGGAGAACAGAGAAGAGTTGAGACTAGGCTGAGCGGGAAAGAATTGGGTTTACATACTATAATACACAAAGGTAAACAAAGCAGATTCAGCTCACGTGCGCCATCTCTTTCATATCGTTTAAACTTGTAGAATTATCAAAGGATTGTTTCATACGTATGTCTTCAGAAAACGACTACGACAAGCTCACGAAGGAAGAGAGAGAGGCGCGGGATAAGGTTGATAGGGAACGCGAGGAGGCCGAACAGGCGGGTATGGTTCCACTTAATCAGAGGTTGATCAAATCATAGATCATGGCATGCAGCTCTCCCATACAAATGGAGGCAAGAGTTAGGCGAAGTCGATATTACTGTTCCTGTTCCGAAAGGGACACGAGCCAGAGACTTGGCAGTTATCATTCAGAAGAAGAAACTTAGCGTTGGTTTCAAGGGTCAGGAAAAAATTATGGAAGGCGAACTCTGCAGGGAGATCAAACTCGAGGACAGCACGTGGACACTCGGTGAGGTGCCGCATCGCGATACATATGCTGATTCTTAACCGTAATTTAGAGGATCAGCAATCTCTTCTCATTCATCTGGAGAAGCTGAATAAACAGCAGTGGTGGGACAATATCCTCACACATCACCCTAAGATCGACACTCGCAAGATCCAGCCAGAGAACAGCAAGCTCAGCGACCTTGATGGAGAAACCAGGTAATGTTCACGTTTATCAGTCAAAGCTCGCCCTTACCCAGCTTCTTCAGGGGCATGGTCGAAAAGATGATGGTGCGTATTTAGCATGTGTCTATATTTCTTTCTACCAACTTGTTTTCGTGCTTTTAGTTTGACAACCAACAGAAGGTATGTACTTAATCATGCCTACGACAATATGCGTATTCAGTATACATTCAGCAAATGGGAAAACCTACCTCAGACGAGCTGAAGAAGATGGAGGTTAGTAATTCCTGTGTTAAGTTTCTCGAGGCTAACCACTTTTAATGTCTTAGGCATTGAAGAAGTTCCAAGCCGCACATCCTGAACTCGATTTTTCGAATGCCAAGATCTCATAAATTCGATCTATTGTAACGAGTGCCAGGTTTCATATTGCATCCGCCATGTACAACAAAGAAATTCTACATCTTGTGAACAACATGAGAGTTATCTTAGCATTTCTCTCCAGATGCAAACCCTACGTTTCCCAAGTGTGACCAGCAACTGTCCTCCAAAGCCGAGCACACTGGCTTGCACGCTTCCCTGCGCACCAGGAACTAGAACCTCCCACCTCTGTGGTTCGGGTGATTTCCCGAAGAATGTTGTAATTGGTTGATCTTCCTCTTCCTCTTCATCGTCCAGACGTACATTTTTGAATTCAGATTCAATGTCACGTTCCGGTGGGTCACGCTCCGGTGGGTCTGGCGCTATCACGCGGGGGTGGAAGTTTGCGACGTTGTACAAACGAACACTGTCGGGAAGAGACAATGCAAGTATGTAGTCACCTGTAAACGTCTGGGTGACATGAACGTGTCGAGTCTGTTGGGGCAACGAGGACGTCGAGATCAGTGTAAATGATGCTGCAAAGACGGATTAAGCCACTAGTTCCAACAGAAATGTTGATGCATACAGCTCTCATGATAATCCTGCACGATGATCAGCCACACAATCAAAGAAATAGAGGGCAATGGCAATGTACTGATGAGCAACCCCTCAACATCCTCCCAATCTCTTGTCCTGCAGGAAAAAATCTATCGAATCCAATCCACCGGAAAATTGTCATAGTTCCATCTTCGTAGTATATATCATCCTTGCGACCGCGGCGTCTCATGAGAGCGGGTGCGCTATGAGTTATTAAAATGTCGGTGCTAAGCCTGTTTTGGCGTGGCCGGCGAATTGAAACCGATGTCCTTGAATTACATAGAAATACGTACCAACTGACGGAGATGACACGCGCCTTGTGAATCCGACTGCTGCTGAAAAGAGGTTTGTCTTCACGAGTAAGTTGATTGGAAGGTGACGCTGAAAAATTCCAAATCTTCACAGCCCGATCTAGCTGAGCAATTGTCGAAAATGTTACGCAAAATATGCAACCTTGAATGGACCTACCCCACACGTGGCGATCAGAGGATGCGTTGGATGGAATGCCTCATAATAATACATCAGTCATGGTATCAGCCTAATCTACAGGACTCACAGCGCTTAGAACGGCAGCCTCATGACCACCTGACGGACCACCACAAAGAACACTAACGCATCGGCCTACGCCCATACCCTCGGGCTCGCTAGCTTGCAGTCCATGGGGGGCTCCGCCTAGGCTGGAGACTTTAGATGGTGGCCAGCAAGGATTGTCAGGGCCCTGTTGCGGGGACAATGTCAAATCATATATGCGTGTTGTAAAATCCCTTGAAGTGGTGCAGAATAAATAGGGATGCGTAGGGTGAATGACTATGGATGTGATCGGCTAATCACAAAAAACTTCCATCAGCGGAGTGAAAGAAGGGCGCAGGTACTCACCCCACCATGTCCACGCAAGTGGCCGATGATCTCGCCTTTCACTGGGTTCAGGATGTAAAGGATACTGCCCGCTGAGAAAACAATAAGAGGTTCTAGTGGTGCCTCAAAAGGTAGAGCCCAGCCCACGGCCATTACGGGTGTCTATACACGAGTTAGGTCGAGTAGGTGCATGAATGTTACCTCATACGTTCTGTTCTTGTTTTGGTACAGACACTGAGAGGCCTTTGCGTGGCCTTGACGCGCTCAGTGGGATAACTAGTAGAGAGTCCAGAGTTCCGATCGCGAGGGCCCCAGACCAATCGGAAATCATCTGTATCCATGGCCCGTCCTGCAGTTCTTTGTCCTTCTCGCCATACCACAGGGCACCCAAAGACTGTTCAGACCATGGAAAGAGCGCAGTGCAGTAACATTCCTCAACGAAGTCAAGCTGACAGATGCTAGTTGGCTCAAGTCACGATCAGCAAGCTAGGGAAATCAGCACGGACATCAACAGTTTTAGAAAGCGTGAATGGCTTGGAGCGAGCGGGGTCTTGAAACCACGGAGTGTCGCTGTCATCAGCGACTATCTGGTCACTGTCATCGAGAGACTCTTCCATCGTCGAGCTACTAGTGACCTATTCAGAATCCACCGATGTGACAATAGAGGATGTCGGGATGGAAAATATCGACTGACAAAGGCCTTCAACTTATAATAGTAAAAAGGGCTATCGACGAATAAGGTAATCGTTCAATAAACCTTTTTCGCCGACCTCCGCCTCGTTCCATCACTCATACCAGCCATTATGTCTGAACTACCCCCACAAACCTTGGAAGACGCTTTCGAGTCAAAACCTGCACTGCGCAATGCAGCTACCATAGGTTTTCAAGCAGGTATTGTTGGCGCATTTGTGAGTGCAGTTCAAAATGCCCTGGGATCGCATTCGCGAGGCGCTGCTGGGTTCTTGACACGTAGCGGGGGCACTATTGGAACTTTCGGTAAGAGAAATAAATCTACATGCAATATGAGAGTGTCAATGTTGAGTTCCATATTTACAGCTGCTATGGGTGCTGCTTTTGCATTCACGGAGGCGGCTATAGCGAATCAACGAGAAACAAATGATGCACTGAATGGCATTGCGGGTGGTTGTGCAGCAGGATTTCTTGCAGGTCTTCGAAGTGTGTTGTCATGTTGGGTCTATTATTCATTCACCTTATACGTCAACCTCAGCACGTTCAATACCTATTGCACTTGGATCGTGCGCTGTAATTGGTGCAGCTATGGGCACCTTCGACTACGCAGGGGAAATTGCTGGCAGGTCGAAAGAGGAACAGGAGGAGAAGAGAAAGAAGTTTTTCAAATCAGTACCTCAGCCTGTTCATGCTTCCGAGTAGAGGCAGCATCACTCTATCTCATCACCTCACTTCGATCTAGAACTAAATGCTGGCATCGAGCCTCACACCTAAGGAATTTCAAGTGCATTCAACAGATACTTGAAGATACAGCATGACAGAACGGTTCATAAAAACCACAAAGTCACTCATGGATCGTTCACCTAGCTGGAGGAGCGTACAAGCTCCTCGATATGTGCATAAACTTCATTTTGGTGTGTCGTGTAATACTCTGGCCAAGACTCTGCGCTTTTGCAAGGTCGCTGAATGACATGACGGTCAACAAGGGAGTAAATATCAAGACGACGGCGACGGCTCACATGTTGCGATAACTTTTCCCATACCCTCTCGTCATTATCATCGTCACCTCCACCGTTAGCAAAGAATTCGCAGATTACTTCAAAATCCTCTCGTTCCAGAGTTTCTTGTGATACAGTAGGGGAAGCTAATCGAGGCTTCTTGGATGGGCCAGGTCTTTCCTCCCCAGTTGATTTCTCGGTATTCCCATTCAAAGACTTGCGAAATGCGATATTTGCCCTCTTGCGAATTTCAGTAAGTTGTGTTTTCAGTTTCGAAGTAGCCTGCATCTGCCAGGACCCAACTGAGTGATGCGGCATCTGCAACGGATGTCAGAATCAGCTCTTTGGGAATAGATAGGATATGCACATCAAAGGCAATCACGTACCTTTTTGTGTATAGCTTGAAGCAAGACCGTGGTGGACATCGTTGGGTCTTCATTGAGCAGGAATTGAGCATACCGGCAGAAGTACTCAATTTCTGGCTGCGTAAAGTGAAACTTTCCATCTCTCATGGCTTTGCGCGTCTCTGGGGGAGGAGGGGTAGGAGACCGTCGTGCATGATGGAACTCTGCCTCCTTCGAGGACGGTAGCAGCGGTGCTGCTAATATTTGTGGGGAAGTGGGCGCTGATATCTTTTTCACTTGCTTTGTTGGCGTCTCTGTTGGCGTGGTCCTCTTCGGCTTCGGCTTTGGCTTCGGCTTTGGCTTTGGCTTCGGCTTTGATGCAGATTTCTGGCCTTCTTTCTTGGCAGAAGGAATATCCACCTGCACAAATTCAAAAAATGCGCTGCTTGGTCTACCGCGCTTCGCATTTTTGGTCGAGACCGTGTCGAGCATGTACTCGCTTTCATCCAACAACATGTTTTCAGCGATGCAATCGGCAACGAATGCCGACTGAATCGGAACCTTGTCGCAGGCATGGGCCTCACTCAAGAGGCCTTGGAATGTCTGCGAGCGCGTGAAGAGAATGACATAATCTGCATCTGCAATACTCCCGATGATCTTGCCTTTATTTTTCTGTATGTTGGTAGTTAAAACCAACATAAATGCGTGAAAAGCCTGAATATACAACCTTGATGTTCGAAACTACTCCTGATCGCCCCTGCAGATCAACCTGCACAAAGAATGTCAAAGGCTGCCCTTGATCGTCAAGGAACACCTCTCCAGAATTCTTTCCTGCAATCGTGCGGCCCGGCGAGCTCAAAAGAGACTGCTCAAATACATCGTCTGAACCGGTAGGAGGGGCACCTTCGTCATCATCAGATTCGTCGAATATTGAAACACGTTCCTTGCCCTTGAGAGATCGTTTGTTAGGCGGCTTTCCTGGCACTTTTGGGGGTAACATGGCTTCGTGAATAGCTTTGCGCTTCACTGAAGGAGGGAGCAAAACTGTAGAAGGCCCACGAGAAGATATGTCGGTGCGAGGTTTATGTCCGGAAGGACGAGGTTGTTTTTCCGGGTACTTCAACACAACGACGTCGGGAGTTGGGCTGCGTGATTTATAAGAAGACGATGAAGGAGGGTAGGGTTGGTCTGGAGCAACGGTTGAATCTGGTGTTTGTTCGTTATGGATGGCAGACGGAGCACTGGATGAAGCTTCTATTTGGGGATACATAGGTGAGGGCTGTCCCGCCTGCAAGAATTCACCACCGTTGGTGTTCCTCATAACATCCATCAGAGTCACAAGCATTTGAAAACTCTGCGGGTCCCTTAAGTTTTGAAACGGCATGCCCGTTGGCATCGTCATTGATTGGGGCGGTATGTATGGCATGTGACCAGAAATAAGCTGTTGCTGAGGAAATTGGCCAAGCTGGTATGACTGTTGTTGAGGAGCAGCAAATTGTTGAGGGAACAGTGAAGCTTGCGAAAATTGTGGCTGAGAAAACTGAGATACTTGAGAAAACTGGGGATGCATAAAAGGTGCTGGCGTGACGGATTGTGTTGACTGGGTTTGTAGAGGAGTCTGAGAGAACTGGACATGCGGAAATGATGCTGGTGTGACAGGCTGTGCTAACTGAGGTTGCGGAGGAGCCTGCAAATTATAAGGTAATGCTGAAGTGAGCTGCTGAGGTGGTGCAATGGGTTGAGGAGTATTAAATGATTGAACAGGTGGGGAAATGCTTGGTGTATGATTATACATAGGT